GTCCAAACTGGGATGGTCCCTATCAGATAGAATCCATCGCAGGAACAGGGGCATATTGGCTCTCAGACATGTCAGGAAGAAGCCTGCCACGGCCTTGGAATTCAACACATTTACGTAAATTCTATCATTGACCCGACTTGTGGGCTTGATACTTGAACATGTTCCACCTTTGCAATGCAAAGTTTCTTGATTTCTCAAGCCCGCTCCCAAGCCTATGAAGGCCGATTAAGACTCCGAATTCAGAGCGCCCTTCGTGGATATCACGATTGGCCCAAATAAAGCCTCCGGATTCGGAGCCCCTTTCGGTGCATGACACCTTAAGGCCGATTAAGACTCCGGATTCGGAGCCTCTTTCGGTGCATGACACCTTAGGGCCGACTAAGTCTCCAGATTCGGAGCCCCTTCTGTTGCATGACACCTTAGGGCCGATTAAGACTCTGGATTCGGAGCGCCCTTTGTGGATATCACGATTGGCCCAAATAAAGCGTTCGGATTCGGAGCCGCTTTCGGTGCATGACACCTTAGGGCCGATTAGGACTCCGGATTCGGAGCCCCTTTCGGTGCATGACACCTTAGGGCCGACAAGTCTCCGGATTCGGAGCGCCTTTCGTGGATATCACGATTGGCCAAATTAAAGTCTTCGGATTCGGAGCCCCTTCTGGTGCATGACACCTTAGGGCCGATTAAAACTCCGGATTCGGAGCGCCCTTCGTGGATATCACGATTGGGTCCAAATAAAGCTTCCGGATTCGGAGCCCCTTTCAGTGCATGACACCTTAGGGCCGATTAAGACTCCGGATTCGGAACGCCCTTTTGGTGCATGACACCTTAGGGTCGATTAAGCCTATTAAGGTCGATTAAGACTCCGAATTCGGAGCGTCCTTCGTGGATATCACGATTGGCCAAAATAGCCTTCGGATTCGGAGCCCCTTTTGGTGCATGACACCTTAGGGCCGATTAAGGCTCCGAATCCGGATTGGCCTTTTTTGAGATGCATTCGCACCACTTCATTGGCCAAATAAATATTCACTGAGAATCGTTCTTAATTCAAGCCGGTCAATACATGTTTAAACATTTACGCCACGCAACACAAAACTTGCCAGAAAGGTGAAATAATACGATTAATTAAACACATAACATTTCAAGACTAAATACAAACGTTGAAAATAAAAGAAATTCTATTTATTCGGCGCGAAGTCTATTCATTCGGCACCCTCATCGCTTTTCTCAATTTCGAAATCGAAATAAGGAAAGTAGTGGCGATGATACAGGGGCGAGGCCGAATCAATGCCCATGGCTTCGAGAGCTTCCTCGGTTTGAAGGGCCTTGATCCAGTCGTGCTTGAATCCACGATTTTCACATTGGCAGACCTCCTCGGTAAGGTCCTATTTGGTCTTCTCTATCCCGACCTTCAGGCCGTTCTGAAACCCCTTTTCATAACTCGAGGTCCGTTGGGTCACTCTCTCCGCAACAACCAATTTAGATTGACCGGACGCCACCGACGCGCTCGTTTGAACATTCTTTAGCTCCCAAAGCTCACGCTCAGCCTTTTCCACGCGAATCTCCAGACTGCGATTCCTTTCGTCCTTTTTCTCGCTCTCACGTCGCGCCTCCTGTAGACGCATGCTGATTTCGTAAGCAGTATATAGCCCTTTTAAGGCCCCATGTATGCCGTCTCGAAATACTTCGAAATCTCGACATCCGACCATCGATTGTTGGACTTTCGGCAGGAATATCTGTCGAGCGAACTCGACTGCCACATCTGGGTCTTTAATGATAGAATCCCCCTCTGTCATTGGTCTATTCCTCACAAAAATCGCAAAACTCAACGGTCGTGGCGTCGCATCAGGCTCAATTTTCGGTCGCAGGTGCGGAGAATTTCCCCGTTGTTGCCTGTCCTTTCAGGGCGATCTGCTTCGATGACGTTCTTCTTCCCGATCCTTGGACGTTCTTCTTCCTGTGCGCGTAGGCTCGCTACCACGACTCATTGCGGCGTCTAATTCAGTCAATCTTTGTCCCTCCCAAGTTGCGTGAATGGTAATAAGTTGGGCCTCTGGCGTGCACTCGCCCCATTTATCCTTCAATGTTTGTAGCTCTCCCGAGGCAACGCCAGTAATCCCAAACGTCAACCCACGAGCTGGGCCAGCCAGCCCACGAGTTGCGCCCATTCGGCTTCCTATGCTCGCGCCCTGGCTAAGGCAAGGGCAGATTTATTAATCTGGTCGGCCATGTTTTCAAGCGCAAATGCCGATCAATTAGTGCCTCAGCCAGCCCACGAGTTACGCCGATTCGGCTTTCCAAGCTCGCGCCCTGGCTAAGGCAAGGGCAAATTTACTAATATGGTCGGCCATGTTTTCAAGTGCAAGCGCCGATCAATGTGTGCCTCAGCCAGCCCACGAGTTACGCCCATCCGGCTTCCCAAGCTCGCGCCCTGGCTAAGGCAAGGGCAGATTTACTAATCTGGTCGGCCATGTTTTCAAGCGCATGGTTGGCTATGTTTTCAAGCGCAAGCGTCGATTAATGTGTGCCTCAGCCAACCCACGAGTTACGCCCATCCGGCTTCCCAAGCTCGCGCCCTGGCTAAGGCAAGGGCAGATTTACTAATCTGGTCGGCTATATTTTCAAGCGCAAGGTCGGCCATGTTTTCAAGCGCAAGCGCCGATCAATTAGTGCCTCAGCCAGCCCACGAGTTACGCCCATTCGGCTTCCCAAACTCGCGCCCTGGCTAAGGCAAGGGCAGATTTACTGATATGGTCGGCCATGTTTTCAAGCGCAAGCGCCAATCAATGTGTGCCTCAGCCAGCCCACGAGTTACGCCCATCCGGCTTCCCAAGCTAGCGCCCTGGCTAAGGCAAGGGCAGATTTAGCCATGTTTTCAAGTGCAAGCGCCGATCAATGTGTGCCTCAGCCAGCCCACGAGTCACACCCATTCGGCTTCCAAAGCTCGCGCCCTGGCTAAGGCAAGGGCAGATCTGATCGGCCAAATACCTAAGCTAAGCAGCCGATCTAACCATAACCGAAAGCAATAACATTCATCAACAACATTTTCCTTAGCTAGTTGAGCACAACTCATGAAATTTTATATACTCAAGTTACCAAACAAAAAGCTACAAGCTCGCATAAAAATGCCTAGCAAAAAACAAACATTATGACTGTAGCAAAAGATGAAAAATACTAAATTAAAAACCGTAAAAATACTTTCGACATCCTAAAAACTGTCAATCGGCCGGATCAGCTATCGGAATCAGACTCCAATGGCTCAACATCCACTTGCTCATATGGTATTGGCATAATCAATAAAGTGTTAGCAGCAGCAAGGGCTTTGTGCCAGCCGTGTTTGAATCCCCGATTTTCAAACTTGGGGACTTGGTCCATGTACTCGGTGAATCCAGCATTTTTCCCGGCCTCGAATACTTTGGAAGACTCCGAGTCGGCTGATTCCTTCGCCGCCTTCATTCCAGCCAACTCAGCCTCCAGTTTGGAGTTCGCCTTCTGGGCCAACTTGAGCGCATCTTCGCTCGCGTCCGCCTTCTTCTCGGCATCCGACCTCAATTGATCCGCGCAACGAGCCTTCTCCATCTCTGCGTCGGCCCTTGAGGCTTCCTTGTTTGCCCTTAAAGCTTCGACCTCGGCCCTTCTCCTTTGGCCTTCAACTTCCTTGCGTAAATGACTAATCTGTTTGACGGCATCGCGATGGCGACGGCCCATATCGGCTATCCATCCGACAGTCTGTAAAACAAGAATTTAAAACCAAAACTTCAACAGTATTTGGATTAAGTGAAGCTAAGTTCGAATATGTACCAAAAGTGCCGATTGGGCGGCTAGTGCTGTCGCATTCAGATCCGTTTCCACCCGGAAAGCCTCCTTGTCAGATGGCAACGACATGGACGTAGCCAAGCTGAATGCAACTTCTGGATCTTTAAGCGCTGAAGCATCAGAAGAAACCAACATGTTTTTTATCATCGGCTGAATGACAAAAGGAACGATCACGTCCGATCCCTCTAATCGAGGACGTTTGCCGCCATGTTCTTCTACGCCAGTTTCAAACTCGGCAGGGCGTTTCTCTGCCTCAACTTCTTAGCCAGCCTGCACGATCAAAGTAGATTCGGCATCCCGATTTTCCGCCGTCTCCACCTCCATAACGCGCAAGGACTCTGATTCGCTAACACGCAGGGAGAATTGAGATTCGGTGGCGGGTGGTACTTTAGACGGAAGGGCCTCCGCTCTTCGCCATGCGGCCAACCTTTCTGCATTCACCTTCCTAGCAAGTTTTGTCAGGCTTAACCCGGCCATGTCTTCGGGGTTTGCGGCGGGAATATCCTCTAAGTCGTGAAAAATGTCGTCAAGCGAAAGATCCCCTCGGCCCGAAGCGGATGGGGGATCGGCCGAATTCAATTCCGCGTCAGACTCGGTTTCGGACTGATCTGATTCAGTAACATTAGCTACACCCCGCTCCGAATCCGACCCTTCAAAACCAACCTGCCTCAAGTTTTTGAAGTCGGACAAAATAAGAGCGATAAGAGAGTCTTCACCCTCCGGAACCGGGATATTTTCCGCCGCCGAGAAGGTTGTATATGTCGGCTCGTAACGAAGCAGAATGTAGGCCGCCCTGCCTTGTTTCTGAAGACTTCGACGGCCGAAATATTTGTGCACGACTTTGATATCCGAAAGAACGGCGCCGTCAGTTGAAGACACAACTTTCTTCAAATTTCTCCCTACACAAGCCAAGCCGTAACATTTCAAAGAAGAGGCTTTACAACAAAAACGAATAAATAATAAAATCGAGAAAGCAATCAGCCACCTGGCTCGCCCCTCCGTCTAGGAATAGGGTCGACGTGATTCTCCCCTTTGCCAAATTCCCAGTTACCCTGGACAACGACCATAACATCATTAACTCGTTTTCCAGAACTGGGAAGCATAGTAATCAGCTGATGGTCGATATCCTTGGCCCTAAGGAAAAAACGCCCGTGCCGACCAGAAGACTTAGCCAAGGCATAACAATGTCAGATGGTTGGAATGCCAAGGTTAATTCTTAGGCGACGGTTGAGCGCTATAACCCCCATTATGATTCTAAAGAAATTCACATTAGGTTGGGAAGGGATTAAACCCCAATGGCGAAGCACAGCCCTAAGAAACGGGTGAAGGGGGAAACGGACTCCACCCTCTGCAATTGACAAAAGAGGAAAGACAATCGTGGTTTCGTCCTCCCTCTCCAGATCAAGAGTGTCGTCTGCCACAAGCGACAGACGGACATCATCAGGAATGGAGAAATGGCGTTTAAAGCCAGCAATACGATCTGACGAGAGGAGGTCTTTTAAATGTTTCGCTATACCCTACAGTCTATGAGAATATGCCGAGGAAGGAATAAACCAGAAAGAGTTCTCGAAGCAAGGGAGGAGAGAACTTACAAAGGACGAAGAGGATATCGGAGAAGAGAGTTTCAGGGACGATCCAAAAGGCAATCCAGCGATGAGCATCATAAAATATATACTTGAAAGGACGTCGAAATTTTAAATCGCAATAAATAAACATGTACGAGGGGGCGGGAAGTCGACACGACAATCGAAAGGGGTGCGCTTAGATATCCGCATGAGGATGAGGCTAACCGCCGAATTTTGGCTCCGGCTTTTAGGAATTCAAAACCAAGCACTCCAGCCAACTGTCGTCGGTGAAGTGCTTGGGGGGCAATTGTGGGAGCCGAATAAGTAGAAGAGTCGGAAGATGCGCACTCCAGAAATTAGATACTATCTGGCTTCATATTGCGTGACTAGGACGCCGAATACGTTAGGAAAGCCGAATAGACGGAGATCAGTGGCTCCAAATGAAAGAAAGGACAATGATTAAAAAGTAGGTCCTGGCCCCGAGGATCAAAAAGAACAGGTATAAATACAGGAACAACGGTTATAGAAAGGTATGTAAGAATCATTTCACAAAACTTAGAAAAGAAGCTATCCTGAGTGTCTGAACTAACTTATCCGTTGGAGTGCTAATCCCGGCACCCTCGACCGGAGTGTTTGTATCTTTTCAGGTGACCAGCTGAGGATCATTAGCGTCTTCCAGGATCCGAAGAGTATTTCCGAACCATTTCTCCACACCGTCTCTCACATGCGTTACTTTGTCACCCATCTAAACACGATATAATTTATTTTCATTGATTGTAAAATATTTATAATATTAGAATGTCACTTAAAATAAAAAAAAAAGGCAAAAAAAAATCACTCTCATATCCGTCTCTCACATGCTTTACTTGACTGGCGTCCGGTATGTACATTTCAATGATTTGTGTGAAATCTTTCTGGCGTGTAGTAGAATAGGAGTCTGGGGGCATCTTTTCATTTTTATTTAAAATCTGTGTTTGTGTCATTTTAACATGAACTGATGTAATGAGATTTGATCTTCTTCAAAGAATATGTCCTATCCCTGGTAATAGGATTTTCAGAAGCTTTATTTTGAATTTAGTTTTCTGGCCTTTTCCCATATTTTATTTTAATGGGAAAGTGAATTTCTGTGGTTATGTGAGTATCAGATGCAATTCTAATTGAATAATTTTTTTTTTGGGGCCTCAGCACACATTTTGTTTTTGAGAGAGATTTATGGATGCGCCTTTTTATTTTATATTTTGGATACCATACCTCTTGTTTCCAGAGAGAATTGTGGTCATTCAACTTCTTGTTTGATTCAATTGATTTATATTTTCTCCTTACCATACTGGCTTGTTTAGCTTGTCTTGTTTCCATGGAGAAATTGTGGTTGTTTAACTAGTTAATTGAGTTGATGTATACTTTTCTCCTTGCAGTACTGGCTTGTTTAGCTTTTGGCAAGCAGGACTGCTCCTTTTTCTACCTTTACATTAAAGTTCTAATTAATTGAGTAATATGTGGAGTCTAAGTTTGTCTTTCTCTTTTTTTTTTGATAAATTAAGTTTGTCTTTCTCTTCTTGTCCTATTGGAGAAGTAAAAGCATTAGTACTCAGGTGAACTTTGCCCTTTGCAGATAGAATCTGCTCTTCCTACGCTGTCAAGGCCTATAATGTCTTTGGATGCCAATGAAGATGCTATATTGGGGGCCCTGAAGCAGAGTTTGGTAATTTGATCTTTTTAATTTATAAATTGTTTGAATTTTCTGTTATATTTCTTAAGGGATTTTATTTAATTCTGCGCTTGTTTTTAATTACTGGTTTTTCTCCTCTCCAATATGGTAAAATGGTCTAATCTTTTGCTACAATCTTATGCTTCATAATGTGCTGCAGCTTTTGTACTGTCGAGGTTTGTATAGAGGCTACATTGTTATACCCATATGATAATTACTTTGGTATGACAAGAACTTAATATTTGTAACATTCAATAGTTGATGTATGAGTTTGAATGAAGATATCAATTGAGTAAGCATGACACTGAAAAGAAATTTGTTGAAGTTAATTAAAAAGCTTCTTTACTTTTGTGTTAAGACTGAAAGTTCTAGAACTTGAATATCGGAAATGAATCCTTTGAGATGTGAAATTCCTTCTTGGATGAAAATTGTAGAAAGGCTGAATTTTAAATTGTGTTGTTATGTCTCTTATTATTATTATTATTGGATAAGTAAATAAAGCGTCTAAGAAGAATTGAAAGTGGATAGCAAAATTCTTAGAAATCAGAATATACCCAAATTTGAGTACATACAAGAAACTTTATCTTGACGGGTGTATTAGATTTGATCACATACAACAAATTTATTACTTTCAAAAAGTCCAACGGATCTTAGTGTTATCAAATATGAAAAGAGATTAAAAGGGCATCAGTTTATGCAAACAACAATTTTCTCAGTAATATTATTAGATCATATATAACAGAAAGCCTAACTTTGCATGCGCATGCATGCGTCTATTGTTATTTACATTTGAAGGATTTAATTCATGTGAAAACAAATAACGCTTGTCTTTTCTTTGTCACTGAAAATGTGTTCATGGATTTGCGGTTGTCATCTCATGCTTTTTTAGATTGAGAATGAGAATGTGTTCACAGATTCGTTGTTATTTTCTGTGCTTTTTTAGATTGAGAAAATTTCTTCATTAAACTAGTCAAGGAATGGATAATAATCCAATATATAATTAAGAGTGAATTTTTACTTATCAAAAAACGAGTGAATTTGAATTTGTGATTTATCATAATTTTTTTGATAAATTATCTAATTATAAAATTCCTACCCATTGTATTGGTCACTGCCTGTGTCTGTTACACATACACTCATGGAGCTACCAAATCTTTAGTGATGAATCAATCTTAGGGAGCTTTCATGATCTTCAATGCAAATACATATTTTCAATTTATTATTATGTTTTTGACGGGCATATCTATGTACATGTATTCTTTTAAACATACTTATATTAGTTATATTTATGTATACATAACATTTACATTTTACCTATCAAAAAAACATAAATATGTAGAGAGAGTTGATACTAAATTTCTTATTCTACGAGGTTTTAATGTTCAAATAATTTCAATGTGTTAAATGGACATTAAAATTAAATTTTAAAGGCTGAAATATTTGATGGCTCTCAAAACGTTGTTAAAACATGTGAATTTTGATTTATAGATGATAAATTGGAAAACAAAGTAGAAAATGGCATTTAAATTTCTGTCTCTTCATCATCATTGGGAAGATTTTTCTTATTTCACCTTCTTATTCAGGAGTGAGAACTTTTAATGTTCCGTATTAGTGACTGATTTTATGTGCAATAGTGTCCTTAATCTTGATTGTTTGGTTTTTGCAGAGGCAACTGGAGACTCTTGGTGCTCAACGTGCAGGGCTTGAAGACATGCTCAAAGAGATGAAGAGGAAGGTGCACTTTATTTACTATACTTTGTTGCTCGATAATCGTATGCTAGCATTTAAATTTTTTTTTCCTTTTATTTTTCCTTTTTCGTGGTTCTGAGTAGTGGAGGATGTTGCTTTAGGAACTTGAGACTGCTGTCTACTCTTTAAGAAAAATTGCTTTCTCCTGCGTATACTGATTTGGAAAATGATGTAGACTGTTCCCAAGTGAGCTTTGGGATACACAGCTACTTGATAAAAAACTAGTATTCTGATTTACCCATGCAAGTAGTGCAACCAATTTGGTGTATGTAGCTCTCTGATCTCAGTATGGAGTACTTGCAGTGTGCGTTCATTTGTGTGGCTCTTATGGGGGAGTTGCATCGGCGTAAGCTTGAACTCAAGCACACTGTAGGGGTTTATGTTTTTTTCCCCTTGCGAAAAGTTCTTTTCTTTTTTTCTTTTCCTGGTTGCAAGAAGAAATGGACATTGTTCTTGGACTAGACCCTGCTTGAACATCTCCCCTATTGGAATAGATGCTTTGCATTTTATTAAGTAGGTTATGCTGAAGTTGGATAAGTTCTAGACTGTTCTCATGTGCTGTGGCAAAAGCCTGCTTATGGTTTGCCTCAGATCTAGTGCACTGTGGTGCATATGATGCTATGTGAGGTGTCATTGTCAGAGGCATACCAACTTCAACAAACCATTGCTCTTCTCCTGCTGGGCCTGGGGGCCCCTAGGTTGTTGTACACCATCCTTGGGTTCTAGTATTTTCTTGAACATGAACAGTTAGCATCCACACCTATCATAAACCAGAGGAAGTTTGGATATTTTTTGATTATATGCTTTTGAACTTGAACGTGGTGTCTCCTTATGTTATCGTGTAGACATTTTGATGAAGAGCATTGAAAGAACGGAAAATTTGAAACTACAAATAGAGATCATGGAATGAAGTTTTGAAATAATTTTGATTATTTATTTATGTTTGTTTAAATTTAATATGCTCCTTGATCGATAATCCATTTTTTCCAACAAAATTGATCTATGTAAACCATGATCATGAGCAAGTGCATAAATATATTTCTGAAAGATAAGTGGATATACAAAGTCATGTTGTTGAGATCTATCTAGTTTATGTCACTATATTAGGCTTTATGGGTTGGGGGTATTTTGGATATTTTGTAAATTTTTCGACATAGGCTCTAGGGGATTGCACGTGGGTTTTCTTATGGGTCAAGTAATGTTATTTGACTTTTATTTGGAGTCTTTGTTGGTCTAGAATATTTGTAGTTTCTAAATTTGAGCACCATCTTTATAATATAAGAGTAGGAAAAGTCTAGTAGCCTGTATAAGAATGTAGTCTTAATTTTCAAGAGTGAGTTGAGTTATGAGAAATTAATTGTGTTTGTGTGAATTTGCCTAATCATGCAAGCGTGGGTGAAACTCCTCTCTTCTTCTTTGCAGGGGTAATCCAAGTACTATTCTCGGGTTACTTACTGATCATAGCCCTCAAAAAGTGCACTTTTCAGCCACAAAAGCCTATACATTCACCCCTAAATCAACCTTAATCCCTTCTACTTATTGGTCTTCAATTTAATCATTAACATCCTAAATTACTCCCTGTTTAGGCCACTAAATAGCTTCTGTTCTAAAAATTCTCGGTGTCACTTTTGAAATTAAATCCAAATCTCACACCTTTTATCTCCAAATCCGAGAAACTTTATTCTCTCTCTTAGAACACTAACCGTAGGAGCTTTTACAACCAGAACCGACCACAGTATAGTCCAGGTTTCGTAAAGCTGTCATACATCACATTTTCTTTTGAAGACTAACTTCTTGATGTTTCATCATTTCATGTTGCTGATGATTTACTTTCTGCCTTTCATTTGCAATGATTTACTAACTTCTTGATGTTTATTTAGGTGGTTTATGTGCATTCTTTTGTTACAACAACTCCGAGTGTTGTTTTTTGTTGTAATGTGTCATTGGTTGGCTAATTACATCATTGGATTTCTTCAGGATGATATATTGCCCAAGTTGATGGCATCTACTGGCTCGTATGAGGACCTTTTTAGGAAGGAGATATCAAAGTACGATCACATATGTGAAGAAATTGCCCAGAATGTTGAGGCACAAGAGCAATTATTGTTTCAAATTCAGGTTTGTTTATTCTTTACATGTTTTTTAAATTACTTTTCTCTTTTTTGCTCATCTTTAAAGTAGGGTCATATGCTTTGAGCTCTTATATCATTTAAAAAAATAAAATAAAAACAACGCCCAATTAGTACACATTAATGTGTGTTTGGGAGGGGGAGGGGAAATATTGAGTACACATCTAACCTTTGGCATAATGCACAAATCATTTTTTTCTTATATCATTTTTGTATGGTTTTGCAATAAGCAGTTCTTGTCAGATTAATGAATAACTTGTGTCTTTTGCCATTTTTGATATTCCATGCTTCTTGTTTGATCTTCGGAAGGGTAATGAAGTAAAGCGATTGGAAAGGATAAAGGATTAGGTTTTGGATGGTCTGTAGTATGATGATGCCCAAGGAAACTTGTGGACATCATAGGTAATGTAGGTAGAATGTGGCCCCTTCTGGGTATTATGGTAGACACTAAGATTGCCCGAGACCACCACAGGTGGAGAGGGAGAGAGGTGACGCAGTCTGAGAGAGAGAGAGAGAGTGGCAGTTAGGGAGGAGAGCCTGTGATGTATGGAGAGGCTTTTTGCGCATGGAGGGAAAGACCTCCTTTTATATGAGAGAGAGGCCATGGGTCCCAGCTCACTCTCATGGGTTGTGTTCAGTAGGTGTGATACATAATACATTTTATGAGATAGTAGTGGGTAGGTGTGATACACTTTTCATGGTATCACATGATTTGGCCAATCTTGGTCTTCGTGTAGATGCCCCTCTTATGTACAAAGTTTTTAAAGGCAAATGCGTAACGTGATGCGTTTTACCTCTCGTGAGGTGAGGTGTAAGACTCAAGGCATCAAGGCGTAAGCATTTGAATTTTTATGTTTATTAAATAAATAAAATATCGTAAAATGGTAAAAAATGTTAAAAATTAAAGATAAATGTAATTACTTTTCGCTTCAAGGCGTCGAACATTTCATTGCAGACAAGGATGTCGTCATCAAGGGTGAAATTGACCACCAAGGCTCATGTGATAAGTTTGATAACTGAGGTCCTTAGTTATCAAACCTATCATGTGAGCCTTAGTTTTGTGTTTTTTGTTTGTTGGTCATTTAGTTGACTTTTCCTATGGAATATGTAGTTACAAGAGAGATTAATTTATCTTATATATTTAATTTATATATTAGACTAAATTTGACACAAGCTCTAGACAAGCTCTCCATATGTGTACTCTTCATATGCTTATGAGCAAAAGGCGTATAAGTTGCACTTGAGACCCATGTTTGAGACTGCAATGTGCAAGCCTTTGGAAAGTGTGGCCTAAAAATCAAATTCTCAATGCATTTTGCTTTAGCCTCACCTTGAGGTGAGCCTCAATAATGCCTTTTAAAACTTTGCTTGTGCTTAACAACTGACAATCCCTCAATGCTAGCTGACAATCCACAAGTCGTTGGTGATCCCCATGCTGGATCGTGGGTTAATAAGGCATTCCCATAACTGACCCATTGATCCTGTGGGGGTTCCTACTGTCACGGTCTTGGATTTTCTGAACCAACCCTTAGTCTTTCTAAGCCAACCGTGCAGCCTTAGATTCTTATGCACGCCTTGCTTGCACCTAAGTAAGCCTTTTGTGGAAGAGAACTAAGAGAAGATTGCACACACAAGAGAGACTTAGAGAAACTTAGAGAGAGTTCTTGGAGAATGCTTTGCTTGTATTGCTTGAATGCTTTTGGATTACACTTGGGTCTACTTGGGTAGTTTGGGCAAATGATGCCCTCTCCCTTTTATAGGCTACATAGAACATTCTAGAACTACACTAATGGAGAGTGTTCTAGACATTTCCTCCCACTACACCTTATAGACTATTCTAGAAGCATTCTAGATCTACATGGATGGAGAGGATTCTAGATCCTTCCCCTATCTTCTCCAAGAACCTATTCTAGAATATACAAGAATTATGTGCAAGCTTATGGTCGTATGTACAATTGTCTATAATACTCTAGGGAGTTTTAGAAGCTTCCAGCATCATGCATGGCCTCTGTATTTTCTCAAGTTTTTCAGGAGCTTCCAGAATATTCCATTAGCCTCCCTTCCTTGAGACTTTCTTTTTGTAGGTAATTCTGTCTTGGTAATTTGGCGGGTCGTGACATTCTCCCCCACCTATGCTTGCGACACCCTCGTCGCGCCTTCTCCCTTGAAGTCGCTGATTTTCTCCTTGACTTGCGCCATCTTAGATTTACTTTATCCACTTGCCCTATTGTTGACTTAGCAACTATGCATGTTGGTGGACTTTCTTTGGTGGAGCCAATCATCTTCTTGGTAACGCCTTCTACCTCGCTCTTGTTCGTCTCCAACATAATATACATCGCTGATAGAAGTTGGAGTTTAGTATTTACCTTACTCACCATTAGCACCATGTAAGGTCCTCCTTCCATAATGTACATGGTGTTGTTGCGAGGTAATAGTGCCGCGTTGAACTCTTGCAAGAACTCCATTCCTAGCACCACGTCATAGTCATCAAGTAATGCTATTGAAAAATCGACTTTTCTGCGCCATCCACCAAGGTGCAGCTCAACCCCTCGAGCCAGGCCATCCACGGGCTTTGCCTTGGTGTTTACTGTCTTCATTAGTCTTTCTCCCTAGTCAAGTTTCAGACCATGCCTCTTGGCCTCTTCCGCCTTGATGAAGTTGTGGGACGTGCCTGTGTCTACCATGACTTGGGTCGCCTTCCCATTGATCTTGGCATCTACGTACATTAAACCCTTATCCTATTGGGTCAATGTAGTAGGCTTCGATTCTATCGCACCAAGTAGCTGCAGAGATCCTATCTGGGCTTGTTCTTCCCTTTCTTGTCTTTCCAGCATTGCACTATGGCTCTTTCTCTTGGGACAATCCCGCGCCCAATGTGGCCCATCGCAAATGAAGCAGTTGTCCTTGGCCTTGATGTCTTTGTTAGCATCTTTCTTCCAATCTTTGCCCGATGGTGGCTTGCTTCTGCCTTCTTTGTACCTTGGAGCCTTAGAATCCCTAGACTCTTTGGCCCATTTTGCTCCCCCACCGTTGCCTTGACCATCCTTGGTGGACTCCGAGTTAGAAGATTCTGGCTTTGTATATTCCACCAATGTCTCAGCCATGGTGAGTGCAGTGAAAATGTCTTTGACACCCCTTCTTTGTAGTTCCAACTGTGCCCACTGCTTAAGACCAACTGTGAAGTTGAAGAGCAAGTCATCATAACTCATATTAGGAATTTGAAGCATTAACCTAGAGAATTCTTGGACGTAGTCTCGGATAGAGTGGGTGTGCTTCAACTCCGTCATTTTTAGTCCTGCTTCATGTGCCACATTCTCAGGATAGAATTGCCTCATTAGCTCATTCTTAAATTCTTCCCATGAAGAAATAGTGCAAATGCCTTTCTCAATTTCAGTGTGCTTACGTCGCCACCAAATCCCAGCTAGTTTAGTGAGGTAGAGAGAAGTAGTGCGTACCTTAGCCATTTCATCATTTAAGTTTAAGGCTTCAAAGTACCTCTCTAAGTGCCATATGTAATCATCCAACTCCTTGGCGTCCCTTTTGCCATCGAACTCCTTGGGCTTTGGCGCCTCAAGCCTTGGAGTGAATCCCACATTAGTAGTAATGCCACCACTAGCCACAGCTTGCTTGCACATGGCCCAGTCCGCCCGTGTCTCCTCCAAGCCTTCCTTTAGCTCTTGGACTTGGTCTTGGAGTTGAGAGATCGCCTTCAAGATGCGTTCTTCGAAATCATAGCTTTCTTGCTTGTGGCTCTCATAGTTGGTTTGGATGGTGTCCCGCACAGACTCAAGCAATTCCTCGACTTGGCATTCCACCTTGCCATCGAGTTACTCCGTCCCTTGTTCCAATCGATCCAACTGCTCCTTCACATCGGCCATGGCCACTTCAACCTTGACCGCTCGGGTCTCCATGGCACTCATGATGTCCCTTGACTTGTCTTTGGCCTTCTTGCCCAAGTTTGCAACAGTCTCCCTTCCGCGGTTCTCTTCGGTGTGAGTTACTTCCGCCATAGGGCCCTTCCTTTCTTAGTTACGACGCCTTCGTAACCTTGGCTCTGATACCAACTGTCACGGCCTTGGATTTTTTGAACTAACCCTTGGTCTTTCTAAGCCAATTGTGTGGCTTTAGATGCTTATGCACGCCTTCCTTGCACCTAAATAAGCTTTTTGTGGAAGAGAACTAAGAGAAGATTGTACACACAAGAGAGACTTAGAGAAACTTAAGAGAGAGCTCTTGGAGAATGTTTTGCTTGTATTGCTTGAATGCTTTTGGATTACACTTGGTTTACTTGGGTCTAGTTGGGTGGTTTGGGCAAATGAGGCCCTCCCCCTTTTATAGGCTACACAGAACATTCTAGAACTACACTAATGGAGAGTGTTCTAGACACTTCCTCCCACTACACCTTATAGACTATTCTAGAAGTATTCTAGATCTACATGGATGGAGAGGATTCTAGATCCTTCCCTTGTCTTCTCAAAAAACTTATTCTAGAATATACAAGAATTATGTACAAGCTTATAGTCTTATGTACAATTGTCTATAATACTCTAGGGAGTTCTAGAAGCTTCTAGCATCCTGCATGGCCTTTGTATTTTCTCAAGTTTTCCAGGAGCTTGTAGAATATTCCATTAGCCTCCCTTCCTTGAGACTTCCTTTTTGTAGGTAATTCTGTCTTGGTAATTCGGCTGGTCGTGACACTAGGCCTTGCCTCCAGGTTAGGCAGATTAGCATCAGGGTGTCATTTAGAGTTGGAGCATTAACAAGGCATGATGACAGCCAAGTGGGCAATGCGACTCCTGAGTGGTGAGGCTACGCAGGGCAAGGCATATGGCATCAAACGGATAGTTGTCGACCGGTGATAGTGAGTACCGAGTGGGGTGACGAGGTTCCTTGTGGGATACATGTTGCCATCCAATCAAAGATGTCCATACCAGTTACTCCACTCGGTACTCACTAAGAAGCTGAATGAATTTCCCAGATAGTAAGCTGATCTTTTAGAAGCTGAATGAATTTCCTGGGCTCTGTTTGGTGGGTGGGAAAAGTAGAGCTGAAGACTGCTATTAGATGAATTTCTATGGTGCTTACTTGGTATCATAGGAGCTGTGTGCTCTCTTGGCATTCTTACAAGGGGTTCTGTTTTCCATTAAATAGGTTGTACATAACGGGTCACATGCGTTGTGTTGTGTTGTGCAAATGGCTCTTGGGTAAAATAAAAAACTACTTTTTCCAATGATTTCTTTGCATCCTTCAGAATCATCTTTGATACTTGGTGTTCAATTTTCTTTTTGCTTCCATGGATAAACTTTGAGAAATGAACTGTTGTTAGAAGGCCCTAACCCAAGGGGTTGGCCTAGTGGGTGTAGCCTAGGGCTTGGGGGTGTGCCTCCTCCAGGTCTTTGGTTCAGTTCTCACTATCAACTCCTTGAGGCCACGCCTACGGGCTCTGCTCGAGATTTTCCCAATCCACGTGGCGGGGGCGCTTTGTGTGGGTCTTGGGATTCGTTGAGGTGCACGTAAACTGGTCCGGACACCCGGTCATAAAAAAGGAAAAAAGAAAAAAAGATCCTATTGTTGTTAGAAGTCCCTAATGTTTGATGAGAGGTTCTATAGTTCTTAGATTCATCTGTATTTTGAAAACTGACTTCTTGTTGGAGAGCTCATTTGTTCCACAATGCATCTATTGTTTTTTACAGGCTCAAAACGAGGAGTTTGCTGCCATCTTTAACCTTGAAGATTATAAAGGTAGGTCTTACTTCATTGTGGCATCAGTGCCGTCTTTTTATTTATTTATTGTTGTATTCCGTTAAATACCAACTTATTTATGGATTGTTTATTTTTTTACTCCTTATTTATCAAAAAATTATGGATTGTTTTATTTTATCATTTATTTTTATTTGCATTGTTGTTTAGTAATGATCTTATGAAACTTGCTTTCTGTTAGTCATCATGGATGTATTTTAGGCACTTTCTTATTGGTTCCTGCAGTTGCTCTATGGATCTTTTCTGAAAATGAAATTTTACTTGAAACCAGAGATGGCCTTCCTGTTGATTGCGGTAGCAATCAGACTTGAATTCATCCCGTCCCTTTGTAATGTTGACTTGAGAACCTAATGTGGACATGGCAATCGAAAACATCATGCTTAATGAACTACTTTTGTTTTATGTTGTAAATATTAAGTCATCTTTTGAGATTTGTGGGGTCAATCTGCTCAACTCATTTGGTGCCTTCTGTTGCAATCAAGTTGACTAAAATTCATCTAGTGCCTACTTTGTCTGACATGGCTAACCATTTATGTGGGCTCATATTGGTTTACTGATACCCATAATGCCATTATTCTCTTGTTACTCAACTGGGTTTTTTGCTCAAATATTGTGCCCTTTTTTGTCTGTAACTAGTTCTATTAGCAATTAGCAGATATGTTTCGAGGATTTCCCCCCAGATAATTCTTTGCTATTCCTACTATCGTGGTTCTGATGACTTTATGCACACCCTTTTATGTCCATATGGTCGGTAAATGAGATTTGAAATTTCAACATTTATGTTTGTCATCTACTTGTTTGTTATTTATGTTTTTTTTGTTTTTTGTTTTTTGTTTTTCCGATTTTCTTCCCCATCATTTGTTGATGTTAATACCACTGATAATAAGCTTCTCCATTTTCTGCATTATCAAATTTGTGCTTCTCTTTTTGACATTTGTTTTATGCTTTCTTGTGTATTTTCTCAAATTTTCAGCATCTCGTGAGAAGACCTATAAGCAGATTGAAGCTGCAATAGCAAAGTATCGAGAAATTAAAGAAAACATCAATGAGGGGTTAAAGTTTTATGTTACGCTTCAGGTATGAATTTTGTATTTTCAGCCGCGGTGCTGTATCTGCAACTTAGAAATCACTCACCACATCTTACTAATCTTTGTTAAACAGGATGCTATCACAAACATTAAACAACAGTGCAGTGATTTCGTGATGACAAGAAACATCCAGTGCCGAGAAATGATTGAAGATGTGCAGAGACAAATGGCAGGTTTCAGTTTTCAGGACAAGAATGCTGGTAGTGCTTACAACTACCCAGCAGTCGGACAACCTCATCAAACTCAAAGATCGTCTTCTCAGCAGCAACAAACAGATCCGGCAAACATCCCCCATCAACCTCGTCCTCATTCATCGTATTACCAACATCCCGAGCAGCCTCCTATGCCCGGGTACGGCCACCCCCCTCCTCCGTACGGCATGCCACAGCAGCCACCACCTCCATACCACGTGCCAGCTGCAGGGGGCCCACCATACCCACCTCAACAACCCCAACAGCAGCCAGCAGTGGGCCACGAGTACGGTCAACCTGCATATCCTGGGTGGCGGGGTCCGTATTATAATGCGCCAGCTCAGCAACAAGGAAATCTTCCTCGTCCTCCTTACACCCTTCCGTCTCCATATCCTCCTCCGCACCACCAGGGCGGTGGCTATTACAAGTAAATAGTTTCGGATGCTTTTAATTTTTTCACCCCAGTGGCTTGTTTATTTATTATGTTAGTGTCTCCGATCTTTTCCCATTGTCTGTAGGATGTTTTGCAAAATCATACCCGACAACTTTCAACTATACTTGTGTATAGTGTGTTTTGTTTTTCCTAATATTTATTAGCTGTTGTAGAAACCATTTTGATCTCCATCTTATAGATCATGTTGAATATAATGCACTCTTATGGATTTTAGTTAATATATTTTCATGGTGTTTTAATGTTGTGTTCGGTGCCTTGCATTATGCATGGTACCTTTCTCATGATTGTTTTAGGGCTGTGTAGCTCCATTGGGTTTCTAACTTGTTAAAAGTTCTTCGACGCTATGGTTGAGAAATTTAAAAAGAGATTTGGAAAAGGAAAAGAAAAAAGTGTGTGAAAATATAGACATTTTATTTACATTTCACTTATTTTTTTTTTCCTTTTCAAATCTCTTTTCAAATTTTTCATCCAAATACAACGTAAAAATTAATTAGTTCATTATGTAAGTAAGTTAAATGGGAATATATGTTGGAGCTTGTTAATTTTCTGAGCTGAGAACTTGTATACACCATAAAATTGTGTAAAGAAAAAGCTGACTTCATCTGAATTTGGATCTTCCCCCAAACTTGTGATCGGCCGACTAATCTGGAGTATGTCACTTTTCAAACAAGCTTGAAACTTCATTACTAGAGTTGACTCCATTCGTTTATAATCCTAAATTATTTAGTCTATCTAATAGTGTAGTATTTTGGTATGATAGTGTTACAATATAATAGTACATAGTAATAAAAAACTATTTCTATTAGTATAGCATATACTGTGCTATATAATGGTAGAGTTCTATTTTTTGAAATAAATTTGATCCAATATATAACACAATAGTATTTTTATTTTATACTACACTTCCGACCAATTATCATTATTTTTTAATGTAAAAATTACAATTATTGTAATTGAAGTTTAATTTTTCACTAATTATAACTATGTCATGTGAAGATAAATTAGGAAAATGTCTCGTAGCTCAAATTTTATGGCTCAAAAGTGGCTCAAATGGCCAAAACGACGTCGTTTTGGCCATTTTTATGTTGTTCTGTATTCAAAACGACGTCGTTTTGGCCATTTGAGTCACTTTTGAGCTACAAAATTTGAGCTACGTAGCATTGTCGGATAAATTAACAGTGAGATTTAATTTGATATAATTAAATTAAGATATATTAAATTTTTATATAAAAGGTATATCTTTGCAATAGCCATTTATTTATTTTGTAACTTTGATTTAAATTAATAAATTAAAACATTATTAAAAAATGGTTGCTCAAAAAAAAAAAAAAAAAAAAAATCAAATAAAACACTACACTGCAGGATGCTAATTTATTACTACAAACCATTGGGAGTAGCTTGTAGCAAATATTTATAAAATGCATTTGTATTATGTTAAAATAGTACAAAAAATATGATGAAAAATGTTATAGATCTCAAATAACCTACCAAGCTACACGTGCGTGGATGTGGGACCTACACACATGTGAAAGGTTTGACAGATTATTTGAGATCCCTATCCTAACTCAAATATTATACCATTGGAAATGCTTTAAGTTGTTTTTTTTTTATTTAGTTTATTTTTTTATCAGAGAAATTAACACATGAGAGTTACCTTCTCTACCCTTTACAAAGCATTAAGTATTTAACTCTTAATTCAATTTCTCTAGAGAGAATTGAACATATAACCTCCCCTAAAAATTAAGTCTTTAAAAAAGGCATGGTGACCAATTGCTCGAAGTTACTTGATCTGTTATGGTTTGCTTATGTTAATAAATTCTACGATTAATTACAATTACATCTTGCTGGTTTAGCGCAAAGGGAGAGGCGTGATGTTGGGCTTGTCGAGCACACTACGGATCTTGTTTTAATAATCCAAACCGTTTAATGTGCAGAGCTTGTCAAGTATTTTATATCTGCAAAAAATCACATTGATTGGATATCGGTAACCCCTTAATCGAAACACATTTTTGTTAACAATTTAATTTTAAAATCATATTTACTATTAAAAAAATGTGTTCTGATTAAAGGGCTACCGATATCAAGTCAATGTGATTTTTTGCAAATATGAAATACTCGACAAGCTCTACACATTGATCGGTTCGAATTATCGAAACAGAACTTATAGTGAATCCTACCGTCCCAACATGTTCCAATTTAAACGGAAGAGAAGCCTCTCCTAATGCAAAACACAACCTTTTTAAGTTTGAAAATTTACACATTAACCTGCAGCGAAGTGTGAAATTCAACTCGATTAATAATTTTTGCATATTATCAATTGCTCTATTCTTCAATATTCTTTTCTATGCCATGGCCACGGCCACCACCACCACAATCCCTAAACCCCTCTCTATCTCTCTCTCTCTCCTTTTATTTTTGATGTATTTGATCTATACTTTTGGACGAGTTTTTGAACTCAAGATGATTATATTAATGTGTGTTTGATTGAGTTTTTTGGATTAAGTTTTTTAAAAATTGAATTTTTTATATTTTGTGTTTTTTGTTTTTAGTGAATATTTTTAAAATTTTAAGCATTTTTTTACTTTTTTAGATGCATCTTACTTAGATGTATTTAAAAAATAAAAAATTTGAGAAAAAATATTTTAAAAAATTAATAAATACATAAAAATACAAAAAATATACCAAATTCTAGTATTTTTTTTATTATATATTTTTGATATTTAGTGAATTTATAAAAAGATTTTTTTCACAAAATTATACTTTTTATATGTATTAATGTTAGGCATGTCTAAAAATTAAAAAAATTACTTAAAATATTAAAAAAATTCAGTAAAAATAAAAAATGCGAAAATAAATTTTTTGAGAACTGTTTTTAAAAAACTAAAAACAAGCAAAGTTTAGTTTTGGATGACTTTTGATGCAAAAGCCACTAATTTGTTGGGGTGTCTTTTGATTGTTTTATTTTGGATTTGATTATTAGGTTAGAATAATAGAACACGTATATTAGTAAAATGGTTCAGTTTGTCACTAGTTGAAAATTAAGATTGAATCATTTAGTTCAGTCTGGGGATTTATTTTTGAGTTTCGTTTCGATAATCTGAACCGTTGAATATGTAAAACTCGTCAAGTACTATATCTTTGTAAAACATCACGTTGATCGGATATCGATAGCTATTTGATCAGATCATTTTTGTATAAAAAAATGAATGGTAAACAAATAAACAGTTGACATAAATATGATCCGATCAAATAACTATCGATATCCGATCAACGTGATTTTTTACAAAAGTATAATAATTGACGAGTTCTATATATTGAATGGTTCAAATTATCAAAAAAGAATCCAAAAATAAACCCACGAGCAATTGAACGACTCAATTTTAATCTCTAATTAGAGACAAGCTGGTCGGTTAGTAAAAAAACGAAGTTTGAGAAAACCCACCTTTTTGGGGACTAGATTTGCGGTTTGTTTGACAGCTTCCAAAAAAGCATACTTTTGGCTAAAAATATTAAAAAATTATTAAGTTGATTCGGCATTAGTTAAAAAAATCATTTGTCACATCAATTTTTTTATTTTTTAAAATTAATTTTTTTAACACCTAAATAATATTAAATTTTTTAACTCCTAAAAAAATCAGAAAGTCATACCCCAAACAACAAATTGTAGAAGACTGCATTTAGGAATTGAAAGATTAGTTGCAAAAGCTCACCTTTCTATACGACTAAACTTTTCATTGTAGAAAGCAGGTTTCTGACAACAATTTTTTGGTTGTTGTATACATGTTATTGGTGACAAAATATTTAGTTGTTTCAGTGGCAACTCTTTTGTCGCCATGGTTCGTCGCTAAAAACATATTTTTGGTGACCAAGTATGGCAAACCTATCTAGCAGTCAGATGTTTTTGTTGCTAAAAATCTGTGAAACAATAGTTTTACACATTTTTTTGTTTCCCTTTTTATTTTATTTTATTTTTCTTTCTTCTCTGTTTCTTTGCAACACCCAACCTGTCCACCTTGACACCCTCTTTGTTCCTATTTTATATATGCTTTTTTATCCTATTGTCAAATGAGTTATGGGTCAAATCCAAATTAGGGCGAAATCCATTTCAACCTGCTACAATTTTCTTTTGTGTATTGTTCAGAAAAAACGGAAAGTGTATTGTTGAGATTCTTACAAAATTTGATATTTTCTTTGTCAGACATGTCTAGAGGAAAGACTTATTGAAGTAGAAAAAAAAAGTTAAAGATGCGGGTTTTTTTTTTCCTTAACTCAACACTCAAAAAGTTAATGGAAACATCGATTTACCTGCTCGACTTTATTTTCTTGATGCCTGAACGAATTATATGCAAAGAAAGTAGAAGTAAATGAATTATGCAAGGCAAAGTTTCATAATAATTTTATGTCCCCAAAATACAAATTTTTTGTTTCACAAAAGGAGATGCATAGTTAGAGCTGTTTAACATGATTTTCTAGCTCATCACTTTGCACCTTCTTGAGAAAGACAAAATGAACAGTTGGATTTGGGACATCTCGGCTGAAGGAATTGGCAGCCTATGCAATTTTCTTGGAGTACAATTCGAACAGTTTGTTGCTAATTTTGGTCCCAAAATGTTTGTCAATGATCTCTTCAAAAACAACTCTTATTGCCGAGGCGGTGTTGTGGAGGTTGGCGATCTCCACATGCTTGTTTGGGTTGTTAAATGTTTTCATTCTCTCAATGCTAAAACACCCATTTTTCTTTGTCGCCTTCTCAAGTTCCTCTAGGCTCGGATAATACACAGGCAAGTTGAATGAGTCCACTTTTTCGTCTCAGACTAATCCCTATAACATGGTAACGGGTAAAAAGGTCTAGTGTGGCCTAGAAGTTTCCAGAACGTGGTGGAAAAACCTTGAAGGATCTAGAGGAGTGTGGGTGAGTTTGGAACATCCTAAAATGTTGTGGAGAAGCTTACCATGTACTACTAGAGTATAGAGAATTATAGAATGTAGGAGAGTAGTGTTCTAGATATTTCTCTGGAATGTTTTAGAGAGTTTGTTGCCTTGGATCAAAATGATCCTAGCCATCCATTGAGGAGGTGGATGGCTATATAAGGGAAGAGACCTCATTTGTAAGGATCGTCGAATAGAGCTCTAGAGTGAGAATTAGAGAGAGTGCCAAGAGTGAGTACTTGTGAGGGTGAGAGCCTTATAAAGATTTGTACACTACTATACTTGCATAGTGAATACATTCTTCTGCCTA